GGGGAACTGCGTTCCCCCGCGTCCCCCCCCCGAAATGACCTCTGCTGCTTAGACTAATCTTCCCCGTAACATTTTTATGAGGTCAGAATGGAGGATGGGAGAACCACACTAAACTTCTTGATGGAAGAAAGAGCCAAATAAAGACAGAATGTTTTAAGCCATCTCCAAACATACACAGGGTGAATTTGCTCCCCTTGAAGAGCTGCACCAGAGTTGCTAGATAAGATGGGCCGTGTGAAGTGACAGACTAGAAGTCTTCCTACACCTAAACATACTGATTCACATGGTACTATGAGATACCTGCACTATTTTTTTACTAAAAAAAAAGAGGCTCATGATACTTAGTACAAAGACACTTGCCAAGCAAATTTACCCGGAAGGAAACCCACTGAGTTCAGTGGGGTTTACTTCCACATAAGCGCTTAAAATTGCAGCCTTTACTATCACCTTCGGTTTTTCTCTCCTCTTCTCTGTCTCTCCTCAGCACAGCTCTCACCCTTAGAACTCTGAAGCGAGCAGAGACCAGGTTTTGGAAAGGTTTAGGAAACCCACCAGGTTTGGGAAAGATTGTAGCAAAGCAGAGTAATACACAGAAGCATGACAAACAGAGGACAATGTCTTGTGGATGCTCCCCCCTCCCGCTCCCAAAGTGCTGCTATAAGAAAGCCAATGTGGAGCAAAACATCCATGTCAAAACAGCTTACGTATTTCCTTCACCATCACAGTGACTTACTATTAAAGATTTAAGCAGTAACTCGTCAGGGTGAGGGGCAACTCCACAGGCATAGAGGAACCGCTCCAGAAGGAGAGAGCTAGTAGTGTTCTTGAAATCCAGATATTCCAGCATAGCCTCCAGAGAAGCTGAGGTGTGTGCAGAGACTGCAGCATCAACCATCTGGGGACTGTATGAGAGGGCAGGGGTATAAAAAATAACAATGATTCATTTTAAAACTCAGTGAGGAACACAGAGACTGAAAAAAGACTCACTTGTTCTGGTAAAATACCATTATTTCTTGATTTAGAGATCTGTGCTGCATAAAAAATTCCATTATTGTGGGGCAGCCACAACAGCAGCAGGAACACAATAGAGGCATTAATGCCGTGCTCGTTCTGCTTGTATCTGTGATCAAGAGATGGGTTGAGAGTTGTTGTCCATCGTTAGTGTTTGTACAAATGGGTTTCCCTATGTGACAGATTACTGCAGACAAATGACTCACTACATGAGACTGGTGAAAGTGTAACAGTCTCCTCTTTTAACTCTGGTTCAGAGAACAGTGATTAAACTTAAGAATGTTCCCTTCGCAAAACTGTTCCCTGGAATTATTTCCACCTTCCATCTTAACACTGGTTCATGTATGTCAGTTTTTAACCTGGTTCCCCATTTAACAAGGATCTGAAGTCAGAGTTAGAAGTTGGTTAACAAATTCTGGTTAGAGGGAATATGGTTAGCGCAAACCATGGTTGAAGACAGTGTTGGCATATCCTTTTATTATAAGGCAGATGAAGGAAGGGAATATACAATTCCATAGCTTTCCTACCTACGGTTAAAAAATTGGGGGGGGGGGGGTTACATTTGTATCAACCTATGAAACCATCGGCATTTTAGAACAATTTAAAACAGTCTCCAAGTGGTAGCTGTCCATATGCTCCGACTCTAATATAACACAAATATTCATTATTATAGGAGCAACTGTATTTTGGTTTTCTGTTCATGCCAAAGAGAAGCAAATATTGTGAGCATATATCCTGACCTACAAACTTGCATGTGGCCATTCTTCCTCAGTGTATATGTACATTTAACATGGATGTATGGAATAAAATGGGTTGTCATCAACTCACAGTAATTGTGCATTACTTTCCGTTCTCAGTATCTGAAGGATCTCTTCTTTTGTAGCCTTCCTCAGGTTCTGAACAAAGGATAAAAAACTCCTCACAGCATCAGCTTTGGGTAGGTTTTCTGGTTCCAGCTTTTTCCGAATGGTACTCCAGTGCTGAGAGAGCTACCAAAAAAGGGACAAAAGTTGCTGGTACATATTTCACATTAGCTCTAATTGCTAGGTGCACGTTGTAACTGGTCTGTAACATAACTGCCCGTGTTCTGATCTGAACTGAAATGAAGACCCTGTTCTGAGGGGTGAGCACAGTATATGTCTCTGCATGGATTTCCCACATCCTGGATCTCTGCAGTATACAGGGCCTCTCTCTACCCCATCCAATGTGAGGCATTTCCCCAGTCAAAATGTCCGGCATTTCCCAGATCATTAATGTCTCTCATATGTTATATATTTTAGCTACTTATAGAACGAATACGTGAAGCCTGAAAGCAATTTCAATAAGCAGTTTAGATGGAAATGCTTTATTGTGCACTGCATGGTTTATTTGAATACTTAATTTGCACAGAATGCAGGTGTCTTGAACTAACAATGTCATAAGTTTCTTTCAAAGTTGCCTTAAAGAACAAACTGAAAAATAAGAAAGTGAACACATACATGAGCATGAAACACTATCTTAGAATCGGCTGTAGTAACAGCTGCTTGAGGAGAAGAGGTAGGCAAACCTACACAATTTATTTACGGAACCATTTACTAGAACTGGTTACCCCTTCCTTCCGCTGTCTGCCTACAAACAAATTATTTATTAGTTTAACTCCCTGGAAAATGACATTCAACCATTTTTAATGCATTTCCTACAACTATGTAGTCAGGAATTCTTGGCAGTATAAAGCAGCCAGTCATTTGTCATGCCTGGAAATGGCATTATAGAGCTATCATTATTTGAAGTACACACATGCATTTTCAGGTCAGCCACAATCTCTGATCATTGGTTCTACAAGCATACCTAACAGTGCCAAGAAAATCCTTGGCTCGCTCCCAGCAGCACAAGCAGCACTACTCTGACAACAGTTACAGGCATCTATTGGATAGTTCCTGTGCCATCAATGGTAACTCTCCATCTATCCCTAGACTTGGAGAAGTTTTATTTTGTTCTTACAGTGCAGTATATGTCCATATCCACTTTTCTGCTTAAGCTACCCTGCACCTTTTTTTAAAGTAGTGTACAGCTATAGCCCCACTCACATACAACACCACTCCATCCTTTCGATAATATTTTCTTTTTAAAAAAAATCTTAATAGTGTGTACCATCCTCTCTCCAGCACACTCAAGAACAGTTTTGACAGGTTTTCCTTCCGAGTGAAATGAGCAACACTAGAAGCCACTCACTATCTAGTCAATGCCATTACTCCAGTAGTTTAGGAAGCGCTAAGAATTCAGAATTACAGAAATAGAGTGATCCTGCAGCCCAGCCAGCCAACCACGCAAGCCCTTTTCCACTCCATTCAAGTACAATGTTACATTTCATCCATTATCAGCTTTTGATATAGGCTCAGAGCTAGTGCCCCAGTAGTTTCTTCCATTTCTCAACAAATACAATTATCTGCATGCAGCCTGAATGTCCAACAATATCTCATGGTCTTTAACTCTGAATCTTCAACTATACTCATTTTCAGATTTCTGTCTTTGAAACACCTTGTGGACTTTTGTCCCCCATGAGGAAAACAGAGGTCAAATAGCATCCTTAAAAAGGGGGGGAACACTCCCACAGAGAAGCTGAGTGGGTATTTTGGCTTGTGCTATCACCTGCCTCCACTTCTGTTATCTAGTATTATCTATGGCATTCCTTGGCAAAAGCTCAGCTGTTCTTTCCAGCAATGTTTATTGCTGATCTCTGAACTGGGAAAGCACATCAACACCAGCTCAGCCTGTGCTAAAATATCCTCCCTCCATTGGGTCAGAGATATTAAGCAACAGCAGATGATGCTGCCCACAAATAGCACTACAATTTCAATGGTACAGAGTTCGGCTTACCTTCATTCTAACTAACCATACTTAGGTAGTAATAATAGAGGTGCAGGCTATTTCCTGTGGATTAATGACCAGCAGGGGTGTTTTAATAGCCCAGGACACAGGTGGAGGCTATAAACCTCAACTGGTCCCAAATGCCTAGTAGTGGGACGAATCACTATATCTAATACTAAACTGGCTGGCCCCCATGTGGATGGCAAAGGCCACACAATGGAGCCATCCACATAGAAGACAGGGGTTTCTGCATACTTGGTGGACTCCCCACATATTCATATATATCTTTGCAAATTAACCAAGAAAAATACACTAAAAATAGTCCTTTAAGAACTGAAAATACCCCACAAGGAATGGTATGTTGAGAGCAGTTAACTAAAAGAAAGCTTGCTCCATAAGAGATATGGGGATGTATTGGGAGGCAGGAAGCAATACTGACATTGTCCTTCCCCCATGATACTTTGTGAGCCCCCAGTTTACATTCAGAGTTGAAACTTAGAATGGACAAGCAGGGGACCTCCAAGGACTTGCAGGGAGGAGGATCTCATTTTCTCCTATCCCACTAATTCCTCTTTCTCTAAAAAGACCCATAACTTCTTGCTTTTTCCAGCTTCCTTTTCTACTTCTCACCCACCAGCTAATCTACTTATCTGCCCCATCTTCAGCTTTCTCTCCTTCCCTCCCCAAAAGTATCTATTAAAAAAACCTATGGTCCTGTTGTGTGGTGCTGGCTGCCAGACTGGACCAGTTGCATAGTGGAGGACCCGCAAGGACTTGCAGGGGATATTCCCTTTCCTCTCCCCAAATTATTTCCTATTTTCCCTTCTCCTGGTAACCTCCATATCCTCACCTTTCCCTGCTTCCTTCTCTCCTTTCTACCCACCAAACAGCCTACCTCTTATTTGCCCCCATCTCCAGTAAAATGTATTTTATTTATATTCTGCCTTGCTCCACAATGGGGACTCAAAGCAGTTTACATCATTCTTCTCTCCTCAATTTTATTTTCACAACAAACTTGTGAGGTAGGTTATACTGAGTATTTTGTAACTGGCCCAAAATCACCCAGTAAGCTTTCATGGCAGAATGATAATTCAAGAACATGTCTTCTGGTTCCTAGCGTGAAACTCTGTTACAGTACACTGGCTTTTGGGTGGCTGCCGCTGAAACATAACAAGCAGCCGAGCCTGGGTGAGTCATGCAAGTCAAGTGGTATCATTGCCCGGTGGCTGCTTCCCAGCCCAGCCCCAGAGAGCCCCCCCTTAAAGGCAAAACATCCCTGGAAAGGGCCTTGTCCTTCAACCTGCCTTTTACTGACAGAAACGAAGGCTGTTGTGATTGCCAACAATCACCACAAGGGCCACTGAGTTTCTTAAAACTACAGGCACTGCTTCTGTTATTTGGCAGAAGGTTAACCCCCCCCCCCAATATACTTTTCTCATGTTCAAGATTTTCCTGCAAACCTGGGCCTTTTTCTCATTTGTAGAAAGATCTGTCTTGTCTGTTCATGGCTCCAGTCTCTGGGTTTAAGTATGCACAGACTGGGCCATGTTGAGAATTAGATTTATTGATATGGACCGGGGAATATGTAAAGGACATGGCTCTCTTTTCTAGGGTTTGATCAAGAAAGCTGATACAGTATAATGGCTAAGTGTGTGAACTAGGATGCCTATGATAAAGATAAGCCTAAGGGGGGAAAGAAGTAAAAATGAATCAATTCTGAAAGTTTAATATTATCAAGTTTAATGTACCAGAGTGCACTTATTTGGCTAACACTGTTCGTACTGAAATATATTTGAAACAGTTAATCTCACTCTTCATCTCCTAGAATGTTAAAGCTAAGGGAAATTTTGAAATAACCAGTTTGTATCGTATCAGATCCCTGTTTAGCTAGTGGTTCCATCTTCCCTGTCCTATGTAGTATGTAGTCAAAATGCAATAAAAATTATATATAAAAAAGAATCAATACTATAGTCTGTGACATGCATATGTTTAGAGAGCATCTTTTCTTATATGTTATTTCACATTCCCTTGGATTCATAGGGGTAAGTTCTCTCCCCACCCCATCCTTTGCAGGGGCAAGTACTGTAAGGATGTGGAGCTTTTTTCCTCTGCAGTGACGCTTATATTCTGAAATCCTTCCCTGGTTGGAGTCATCCGGCCTCTACACTGATGGCCTCCTGTTAAATAGTTAAAAGCTGCCCCTCTCCAAAAAAGGCATTTTCTGCTGACTACCTGGACATGTTTTAATTGCTGTATTTGGTTAAGTTTGTTTTGCTACCTTTTAGCCAGTTGTTTTGATTGTGGTTTATATAATAGTTGTTTTGTGCAAGTTTTGTGGTGTTACTGTTTATCTAATTTGCTCCAGGTGCTGTCTTTCAACACAGAATGCAGTAAGCAAACACTCAAAATAAACACAAATAAAAATGCAGTCAGATGGCTAAAAATAAACTCCAAATGCACCATTCAGAAATAACAGGCTGGGAGAAAGCAGGTCCCACAATGTAATACTTAACAACTCCAGCTCTGCCAGTGCCACCCTAAGCAGTTTACACCATTTTAAGTCCATTTAAGATAATGGGTTTATAAAGCAAAGGGCTTAGAAGTGTGTCACTCTTCTTGGGATTGCATGGGAAAGGAAGCAGTAGCTTTGATGTCACTGCTCTTCCTGTCTATGCCCATTCAAGCATATTTCCTTATTGGTTTTTACCAAATTGTTGACTCGATTCTTTTCCTTCACTGACATTACTAGGCTTTGGTTCAGACTTCAAAACCAGTCTCTGTTGATCTGTCCATTTCCATTCCATTATCAGATGTGAATGAAAATATCTGGTAAAAATGTAATAGGAACTCTGTACCTAATGCTTGCTGGTGTGTGTGTGTGTGTGGGGGGACTATTCATTCTTATTCTCAGATTTGCATACTGAGAAAAAGTAAAACATGGATGATGGAATTAGCTCACTATTTCCTCAGTAAATTGTCAGACCAAGGAAAAGCGATGTCAGCCACACACAAAAGTAAATTAATTTTTATTTAAGCTTGTCCTGTGACTGTTTTCATAGTCTACGTTTGAATAAATATAGGCACTGTTATTCAATGACACTCTGATACCCCCTTGTCACACTCCGAGGCTACCACCTGTCTGGCAGAACTGTCAGTTGATTTGCTTCCACATATGCCTTAAATAATCAGGATTTTCAAGAGAGGGTGCTGCCTCATCAGTGTTGTCACTGGTGATGTCACAGCACACACCCCTTTAAAAATGGCCCTGAAATATTGTTATAGTATTGTAATTATAGGTTAAGCAGGTTCTCTGAATTCCCAGCTTTCATTTTTTTAAAGAAGTTAGTCTCTAACCTCTTCCCTTACAGGGATATAACAAAAAAGGCATATCGCTGTGAGGGAAAGTGCTAGAGACTTTTTTTTAATGAAAGCTGGGAATTAAGAGAACCTGCTTAACCTATCATTACATCTACATATTGATATATTAGAGCAGTTTTTTTTAAAAAAAAATCAAAAGTGAAAGAGGAAAGAGGGAGTGGTTAGACAATAAGAACTGTCCAGTCATTGAGAAGTGGGTTGTATGTGGGTGGGAATGGGCAGGACAAAGAAAACCAACAGAAACATTACGCACTAGGAAAAAGACAACTCAAAATCAGCTTCCAGAAAAAGTTCACAGTAAAAGTGGTCTCAAAAAGAACCAGAAAAAGCTTGGGAAAGCAACAACTACTACAAAAACAAGCAAAGTGAAAATTAAAGACACAAAAATGCAAGCAGAAATCGGGATAAACCAAAGTAGTATGGGGACAGAACTGATGAGAAAAGACCATGTGGTTGGCTTCCGGTCTGGCTCCCGCGAATGGTGGACGCATCCTCGGGTTGCTCCCGAGGGCGTCTCGCCCGCCCACGGTGGAGGAGGGAATCCGCACGAGCGGAGACCCGAACGAGCACCTCAGGAAGAGAGGAGCTCGGATCCGGGGCGCTTTAGGGCGCACTAGGGGGGAGTCGCTCTTTCGGCGAGAGGTCGGAGACCGAGGCTCCTGCCATGCCCTGCCCCAATGGACCTTGCTGCGTGAGCGACCCCGAACGGGGTTTAGCGGAGCCACCAGACGTCACCGAGTGATAAAGCGACCATCCGCAAAAATAGAAAAAGAAAAGATCGGCTTAACTGTGAGTTGTCAAAATGCAGAGAAAAAGAACTAAAAACGTAGCGAGCGGAGAAGAAGGGAGGGACTTCCGTCTGGGCGTTTACTTGTGTGTGAGAGCCGGCTATTTAATGTTTGGACTGTTATGGCTGTGAATCCGACGGGAGTTTTGTAAAACGGAGAAGTTTGAACTGTGACAGCGAGGAGTGCCTGGCAAGCGCTTATATGAGTAAACAGTTGCGAGGAGGACCCAGTAGAGAGTTTTGGGAGCGGATATAAAAGCGAAGAAATTAATACCATTCTCAAAGCTGGGGACCTCCAGTAATGGCAAGCAAGGAAGAGGATTTATAGTGCATGAACTGAGATTGTTAACAGCAACCCGAAGGAGGATCAAACAAGCCGGAAGGAGAAGACAACAGAGGAAGCTCCTCCACGTCAGCGACACTAAAAGTACCCAGCACGCAAAGAAGCGGTTCTGAATGTGCCCAGAAGAGGCTTCTTTATTAACAGAAACTCAAAGGAACATTACTAACATACTAACAGAGAACTTCATGTGACTGGATTAAAAAAAAAGAAGTTTGACAACACACAGAAGAAGCCCAAGAAGATTAATTGGACATTACTAACAGTTTAATTTACCAGTTTATATATCACTCAGCTTTCTCTTTCCCCCACTGTCTACCCTTCCCATTTCTTCTTTTAAGCGAAATACCTCCCCTTTTTAGGGGAGTCAATAAAACCTTTATTAAAAAGAAAAGAAAAGACCATGTGGGAAAGCCCTTACTTTTCCTCATGTTGCTAGCGATTTAGCTTTCCCAGTGCTTTAGATGGACAGAGTTTCATTTCCCCCCATTCATTTTAGCTGGTGTCCAACTGATTCAGTGCCTTTTAGTGAAACACTTGAATCTTAAAGGACCCTGAGAGAAATCGAAAACCCAAGAACAATTGGTTTCTTTATTGCTGTTGAACACATGGAGTATAAAAATACACAGCTTGGAATACATTTTCCATGTTTTGTCTGACCCGCTTTGGTTAGTTATGATTCCCAACTATGTTTAAAGGTCAAGTACTTCCTTGTTCAATTGGAACAACTGCAAAATTACTTACACTGCAAACTTGATTTTCCAAAGCCAATATGAATTCTGGTTATTTTGTGCAGTAAATGGATAATGTTTTAGTTATAACAACTTCCTTCCAAGGGAACTTCAGAGATCTGAATATACTCTAATGAATATACTCCTTGATAGTAGCATCCACTGACAAGTATGTTTTTCACCACAATCCAAATTTTAAAATATATTTAACAAAGCTACTTACTTACACACTTAAGGCCCAATACTATGGCCTTCTCCAATAAGCAGTTAAAATGTATAATAATTACGAATCAATGTAGCATCATGCCTTGATGTACTACTATAGTGATAAGTTTCCATTGCACCTGGATGATATTCAGAAGGTTTGAAAATGGTAGTGTTTTATAATTTCCTATCAAAAAACTTCATAGTATTGTGTAATCAAGATACTCTAGAACTATCTTCCTTACTGGAACTTCAGATACATGTATCTTGACTTGTATTTACTTACTGAGGGACAACTTTTACATTCACTGATGAGTGGCTCTGCTACTAGTGAAATGGCTACATAATTTGAATCTAGAGCCTTGATAATACTGGTGACTTGCTTCCCAGCCATCATCCTTGGGCCAGCTTCAGTTGACTTCAGCTCCAGTTTCTGCCTGTATATAAACATATAAAAACACCATTTTCAGGTTATACTTTGAATATATATTTCATTCAACAGATTACTGATTAAAACAATAGCTCATAATTATCATGATGTGTGCATCACTGAATTTCAGAACTGGTAGGTAATGACTGCATGTTCCAAGGTATCTTTAATGGATTAGCACCTATAGGCTGCATATATTCTATGATGGATACCACCACACAGGATGAGAAATTATGTATTCATTACAGACTTCAATATTCCAAGTAGCTCAGCTTTCATTAAAACAAATCCAACAAATTCCCAGCCTTTGAATTCCTCTCATATTTAAATTCTAACATTATTTGTGACAGTTAGCCAAGGACCGAAGCAAAAGTAGATAGGTCAAATAACAGGATGACAAGATTAATCTGGCTAATTTTTAGTCAATACTAAATGGTGTTCAAACTTTTACTTTGTTTCATTTAAATTATAGCATTTGGGAGATCAGCTATGGATATCAGGCTAGCATAACAGCATCACTGATGCTTAGCCACTAATCATTTTGACAAAATAATCAAATAAGCCATCTTACTTTGAAATGACTTTTGCATCAGTTTGTTGCCGAACAGTTGTCCTCAGAACATGATTTTCTTCTGCCCGCACAATTTTTAAAAAAGTGTCTTCCAGCACATAAATGGCAGCAGAAGTAGATTTTTTGCTGATGTCGAAAATCTGAAAAATAATTTTATACAGATGTCTGGCCAGCAAGTGCTCAAAACAGGTAAAAAAATTAATCTAGTATGGAATTTAAGTGTGCATCTGTAATTCAGGAGGGGATCAGGCGTGCTTATCCAGAGCATTTGATCCCTGCAGGCCAGCCACGGCTCCCGGGATTGCAAATATGTTGGAGGTAGGTGCGTTTTTACTTTTACTTTGGGGGAAAAAGATTTCAAATTTTTCTGCAAACTTGGGGGCTCCCCCAAGTTGGAGGAAAATCTCTTTAGCGTTGGTGTGGACCCAGTCCGCAGATTTAGGTATCTGCAGATGGGGGCCACACATTGCTATTAGAACTATAGATGACAGGGCAAGTCTACACGTCATTGGTCAGGATCTACAAATATGTGTAATAGATAGCATGTACATGTATATTCATGTGTTTGCTGTGGGGACCCTTATAACACTGGTGTACAAATACTAAACACATTTGCCATCTAAACTGTGGAGCTGCCCTAACAGAAAGCATAATAGATGTTTATAAATTTATGACTGAGAGAGTAAATAAAATTAATATTCACCCTCTTCCAGAATCCTATACCTTTGGGTCATCCAATGAAATCAAGACAGAGATTTGAGAACAATTAATAATATTGAGGAAGACAGATCATTAGTATAACAGAATGTATGACTACCTTCTGCCTCAATCTAAAACAAGCGGCACACTAGGACAACGTTAGTGTTTACATTTGCGCTGCACCCAAGAAGTTAACCATACTGTACCCGACTGTGGCTGCTAAAGCCTGTCCGTTCCAGTTTGCATGAGTTCATGGCTTTAATTTTAGTGATTTGATTTTGTCGAGCCTGGTAAGTAACATTGCATCTTCCAGAGATGTCCGTCTACAGAAAGGATGGTAAAAAGTTCCTAAGCCAAAGCCATCAATAATACAGCAAAAAAGCACAGGAAATAGCTGTTCCCAAGCAGCCAATTTTATCCACTGTAATCATCAGCTTTTTCAAACCTTCCTTTAACATTACATTTTTTACCATATAGATCAGTTTTCTCCTGCCGTGTTTTATCTTAAATCTATCCCCCCTCTCATTTAGTTCCTATGATTAATTTTACAAACTAACTACTGATGTGAGTAATGTACATAAGATATATAAGAACTGTGAACTCATGCAATATTATGATTTCTCTTCCACTGGAAGAAATACAACTTGCAATTTGCAGTTCACAAAAGAGGAACCATAGTCTCATGCAAAATCTGACAATTTTGTGGAGCACTAAAAAAAACCCTTCTATGATTATTCTCTTTTGGAATGAGGGAAGTGCTTTTTAAGATAAGATTATATATACACAGTGAGAATGTGGGATATGAATATTTTTGTATAAATAATTACACAGCAATTCCTGTGCATACTATAGACACACATATTTTCAATAACATATTTATTGTTTAATTGTAACAGTGAAATACTATGGAGACTTATACCCTTTTAAGTTCACTGATTTCAAGTGATTTAAAGTCTGTTTAGAGTCGCACTGTATGGCCATAATCCTAAAAACAATTGCCAGGGAGTAAGCCCAAACTTACCTTTGAGGAGATATGCTTAGGATTGCTCCCTAGATAGCATTCTGATGCATGGAGAGGCAATCCATATGTCCACTGTGCCATGCATCCTGTTGCAACATGTTTGCTTATTGGCATTAGGGATGGGCACGAACTGGCTCACAAATGTAAATTCATGGCAAACTTTGGCCAGTTCGTGGTTTGCAAACTGATGTTCACAAACTGAAGAGCCACCACAAATTTCCAGTTCACGAAGAGCAGAAAGCAGGGGTTAAACAGCTCCAAGCTATTTAAGCCCCTGCTTTCTGCTCTTCACAAAAAACAGCTGAATGGCAGGGAACAGAAAGCAGGAGTTTAAGTGGCTCCAAGCCAATTAAACCCCTGCTTTCTGCTCCCCACTGCTTTTTGAGGGGAAACTCCTGCTTTCTGCTCTCCACTGCAAAGCTGTCTTTCACCAGGACCAGAAAGCAGGGGTTTAAACAGCTTGGAGCTTTCAAATGGCTTTTCTCAGGGAGCAGAACCAACCTTCCAGTTCATATCAGTTCATGGTTAGGCCACAAACTATGAACTGAAACGAACTGCAAAAATGTTGTTCATGCTTATCCCTAATTGGCATGTTCAGTAAGTAACAAATTACCTCTATGTTACATTTGGAGTCAAGAGCATGCAGGTATTTCATACCATCACTGAACATGTGAGATTGCTTAGCTTATGTAGCAAAAGTACAATACCTCGCTGACAACTCCAGAATTCATCTGTATCTGAAACAAGCTTGCGAGACCTTTCTTGAGATTCTGAACAACAGCAGGTTCATTTGCATAAGAGTAGAAGGTTTTAACCTAGCCAAATGAAAAACACTGTATAAAAGGGCAGCAATTACTTTCCAGATTTCAAGCCTGATTAGATCACATGATCATTCAGAAGATCTTCCATGGGCAAGTCCAGGTATGATTAAAATACTCTATAGTAAACATTCCAGTGAACCATCCACTTAATGGCTAACTGATACGGAGGAAATGAGATTTTTTTTACTGTCATTGGGTCTCGAAGATTTCTGTATAGCTGTAAGAAAATGAAAGGTAATTTGAAAAGGGGGAATAGGTAGACAGTTTTAAAACCAATAACTGTGTGTGTAGTTTGGCCTTTGAAAAAACTTGGCCAAAATAAGCCCTATCGTGACAATGGATTTACCTTCGGTAAATAATTTTATCTCCTTCTTTCTTCCCAGTCTGACAAATTGTGACAATAATGACCTCACAGGGTAGCTGTGGGGGTCAATGGGATAAGAAAGGTGAACTTTGTCCAGGAAAAGTGTCATCCAAATGACTAAAACGAGATACAGTTATGAAGTTGAATGTTAGGGGAAAATCTTTCTATAAAAGGAATTCAGCAGTGAAAAGAAGCTGCCAAAGGCAATAGAATGTTTGTTTTTAGAGTTTTTCAAATACTAGGTTTACAGGCATTAATACTAGATATGTTGCATAAGGGTGGCTTATTGTGTTAGAATGGCAAAAGCCCACTCCAATTGTGTGAATCTATTATTCTATACACATTACGGAAAACTAAACTGTTCAGTGCTTAATACAAGTTAAAGTGGCCTAATAAATGTTTACTTAGTACACTGGTATCTCACCCCTCTGCTCTTCAAAAGCATTGGCACAGCTTATAACAATTAGATAAATGCAGTAATAACATATTAAGTAAACCTCTAGTGGCAGCTGATAGAGGGAGAGACAAACGCATATAAAATTACCAGGAGCTGAATGGCGAGAGCTAAGCAGACCCTTCTCTTTGCCACCTATAGCATTTTAGTCCTATAGCTTCCTTGGGAACTTATTAGGGGTCATCAAAGAAAAGATCCAAAAAGGCAGACTCCCCCCACCACCCCCATTGTCTCTTTGTCTTTCATTGTAATGCAGGAGAATGTGTGTTCCAGAAGACAGTCTCTGTTCATGTGGGGCAAATAAGTCCCAAGAGAACCTATGGGCCAATGGCTATGTAAACTGTCTGTGTGTTGTAGAACATGTCCCAGAATTCTTTGCAACGTACAGGAATTCTGTGGCAAGCTCACAAGGGCTCCATGGCAGAGATTTCAATTAGGAAAGAGATGCAAGTTTGAAGGAGGATAATTGGAAAAAATGAATGAATTCAGCTTAAGAACATATGTACCTGATGTACACTTGCCAGTAATCCCTCTCATCACCTCAGATAACACAAAGTGTGCACTTTAACCTAGACTATAATCAGGCAAAAATTAAAAGTAACTCCATCAGTGACTTAGAGACGTGTCAAACATACAATGATCTTTGAACCTCCAGGCAAGACTGAGCAGCATATGAGCTTGACCCAAGACTTTGTACCTTCAACAACCACTCAAGGAGATGCATCCTGCAGGGCTTTGCCACCCCCACTATAAACCAGGATTACAATAAATGTTATCTCATTTGGACACCCCAGTGATACAGCACTGCACAGTTGCAAGAGGCATTATCAGCACCTTCTAACACAGTAGTTAATCACCATCATAAACAATGCAAGTGGGTCCAATCCTACTTTGGGCACAGAGCAGTTAATACTTAGAAACTCATTCACAAAACTCCTAGCATTTCCTGTAGTTTGACTTGTTGGTGATGGCACTTTTGCTTTCCCTTTTCTATCCCTTGATTGTTCCTTTCCTGTCCTTCATAGGATTGCCAACCCCCCCCCCCCGGTCACATGATATGGTTAGTGGGCTATATTTGGCACAGTAATTTATGGATTTGCCCAAAGAATGAATTAAAATTTCAAAACAAAGATTTTGTTTTTACCTTTCCACGAGTCCACTGGAGAACTACAGGTCTTTTTAAAGCTGCCAGATACTCTTTTCCAATTATTTTATCTGTGTTTTTCCCATCAAAAATGTTTTTGTTGGTAGGACGCTCACTGACATTTTCAACTGTTACATCTGTTACCTGGAAAGGAGAAATGGAAAGTAGAAATGTATCCTTGTTGGCAGGAAGAGTTTTTACTTTTTCATTCTTGCTTCCTGTATGAATCTGCTGATCCATTATGTGGCGATTTGGATTTTTATCTGGAAGTGCCACTATTTTCATTGCAAGCCTCTCAGCACCAGGGGTCATTTGGGGGGGGGGACGCGGGGGGACGCCATCCCCCCGGGTGAGGTGCGGGAGGGCGGGGCCTGGAGCTCCCTGCTGGTGCCCGCTGGAGGTCGCCGCCGGCTGTGGGGAGGACACACTTCCGGTGATGTCAGGGGGTGTGGCATATGCTAATGAGTTATGCTAATGAGTCCCCCTAGCACTTTTTCTACGAAATGACCCCTGCTCAGCACTGACCTCTACTTGACTCTGTGGACACACTCATCCAATCCAAAATGTTTTGTGGATTTAGCCCAATTTTCCAGCATTTCTTTTAAATGAAAGTTCTAGGGATAGAACCAGGGATCTTATTTATACAAAAAATGTGCTCTCCCGCTGACCTATGTCTGCTCCATCAACATATGCCTGATAAGCCTGAAGTGGCTTAAAATCAGTAGGAACCTCGAGAACTGAAAATTCTCAGTTTAAGTTCTCCAAATTATTACCAAGTGTAAATTCCAAGGATTCTTTGTGTGGAAGTTATGACAATCAAATATGTTAATTTATACAATATAGGTTTCCTGCTTTATTGCTCATCAGAAAAGTTGTATTCATTTTAACTCACTGTCACATTTCATGGCCTTTTAATTGTTCTTACTATAAAACGTATCCAACAATGTTAGTGGAAATAATGTATAATTTCATGTAAACTACCTACCGCAATTTTGATCAACTGATCATCATCATTATTGGGATTTCTCCATAGTAAGTTGACATCCACTCCAGATGAAATTCGGAAGCCTGCACTCTCTTGGAGTGACCCTTTAACCCTGTCAATAAGCACTTCAGTGGAGTAGGCAAATTTATATAGCTTGTCATTGTTAATTCTTGGGCCAGTATTGTGACCTGTGCAGAAAACAGAAAACTTTTGGTGATAATCATAAATCCAAAGAACCCACCATATTCTCTTCCTCTCAATGCCTGAGAGTTATGCCTTCCAACCTGAACAATGGCATTTCTAATACAAGAGTGCTGGATGAGTTGATGTAGTATTTTCCACACTTTCAAGGACACTCCCTTATTTATAAATACACAGGTTACCAAGCTGGCAATGTGGAGAATCAGTTCAACTTTCATGTTTTAATTTTTTAAACTACTGTAGCAAGAAATGGTAAAATCAAATGGAAGGCAACATTTGGCAGCTGTCTCAATGCAGAAATCAATAGGGAAGAGTACCCCATTCCCCTGCCTACAGACATCAAGAGGTGGTATTAGCAACAAGGGCAGCTGGGTGAATACCATATAGGCATACAGCTGCTGACAGGCCAGCTGTTTCCACCAAAAGCCAATAATATTAGTGCCTGATGCTACCCTGATCGCACCAGTAGTGTTACCAGACCCCATGGTAGAGGTGAGGTTCCCCTGCCACCATGCCCTGTCACCCCCAGCCGCTGATCAGCTGGCCAGCAGGGGGACTTCTGAGGAGAAAGAGGAAGGCCCAGGCCATGTTGCTGGTGTCACACCAGAAGTGACATAATCACTTCAGCAATGTCTAGGTGACGCTCTGGTATTTGGGTAAAAACTCTATGGTAAACACAGCTTTTACCATAGAGTTTTTGCCCAGATACCAGAACATTGCCTAGACAGTGCCGGAGTGATGGCATCACTTTCTGTGTGATGCCAGCAATGTGGCCTCAGCCTTCCTTCTTCTCCTGGGAAGTCCCCTCCATCCCCTGTTGGTTGTCAGGAGGAACCTGCCAACCGCCATATCGCCCACTGTAGCAAATCCTTACTTCAAATTTGTTCTCAAATGCTTCTGTACTTGTTAATAGCCAGTTCCCACATAAATGATCTGTGGCTGACTGAGCCCCAGTATTCTCCCACCGCATTGTTTCCCATTACCTATCCACCAAGCGCATTCTGTGTTCATTCACTCTGTAATAGGCTGTACTGCACTGTCTTCTGAAGCACGCTGTGCTACTAAATTTATCACAACATTTTTCATTTAAAAGTACTGAACAGACAGTTAAATTTCACAATAAGTCTAGTTGTACTTATTAAAATGGATGAAAATCAAATATATTCTGCAATTTTTGCTCCCAGAATAAGTGATTGGAGAAACAGGAAGTAGAATCCAACCCATCATTCCAAAATCAGACGCACTGTAGATCTACACAAAGGCACTATGAAACTGGCTATTTTGTCTTCAGTCCCTTTCCTAATATTCCATGGCATGCACACTATCTTTTTTATAGGCACTTCACACTGAGTCAATATTTTCTTTGACCTATCCGCCATGACCTCAAGGTCTCCTTAGTCCTTACAGTTCTGATCCCATCAGTATATATTCAAATTTAGGATGTTTTTTTGTTCCAGTGTGCATTACTTTACACTTATACTGACATCATTTGCCATGTTGTTGCTCACTTATCCAGTTTGGACTCTTCACAATCAACTTTGGCTCCCACCATCCTGAATAATTCGGTATTATCTGTAAACTTGGTCACCTTGCTGTTCACTTCCAGTTCCAGATCAATAATGAAGAAATTAAGTAGCACCACTCCAATACCAGTCTCTGTGTATCCCTACTTCTTACTTCCCTCCACTACAAGAACTTTCCATTTACCCCTATTCTCATTTTCCTGTTGGCTAATTAGTTTGTAATCCACAATAAGGACCCATGCTCTTACCATATGGAAGCTAAATTTACTTAAAAGCTTTAGGTGCAGGACTTTGTCAAAAAAATTTCAGAAGTTGTAATATATAATATCAGATACTTTTGTCCATATGCTTGTTAATACCCTCAAAGAACTCTAAAAGGTAGTAAGACAAAATTTTCTTTTGAACATATATAGCTGCCTAACACTGACTCAGACAACTGGTCCATCAAGGTCAATATTGTCTACTCATGCCTCTCCAGAATCTCAGGAAGTGGTCTTTCACCTCCCCTACTACCTGATCCTTTTTACTGGAGATACAGAGGGTTGAACCTAGAAACTTCTGCCTATAAAGCAGATGCTCTGTCACTGAGCCACAGCCCTGTCCATGCTTATTGCAAAGACCCTAGTATCAGGAAATGGTCTTTCACATCACCAGTCACCTGATCTTTTAAATTGGAGATGCCAGGGATTGAACTTGGAACCTTCTACATTCAAAACAAATACTCTAGCACTATGTAACAGCATCTCCCCTTTACAGAAACCAAGCTGGATTTTCAGTAGCACTTGCTCCACAGCAGCTTCACTAACGTAAATTGCTCTCCTTGTTTAGTACGTTACCCCCTTTTGATATACTATACACAGTGCAACCATATACCCTTAGGTCTCCCATTTCTTTAAATAGGGCTAGGCGTGGACTTAATACAGTATTTTGATATATTGATTTAGGGTCAAGAGTGCTTCTGTGGTCAATGTATCTCTCAGGAAGGAGTGGTAGACCCAGCTTGACTTGCTGCTTACAGTGCTGGTGTCTGTCATTAAGACTGTCTATAATTAAATCATGATACCATATAATACTGAAAGTTATGCTGTTGAGCTGAGACAGCTGTCAGGGCCTGTACCTTTTATTAGTGGACTTGGCATGCACAGCATTTGCAGCTCTAACCACTAGCTATCTTTAAGACTATAAGTTACATTTTACAGTTTTGTGTAGCTTTAAAAAGGAAAAGCAAGCTGTGTATTGGAAAATACCACTACAAATATCTTTCAATAAAAGCATTTTGCTATAATCTGGTTAAAACAACACAAAATATTTACAAGCAATCAAGACACGATATCTTGAAGTAAAATGAATTTTAGCCCTTTTGCAACCAACTACTTGGTCACTCAGATCAATAATAATTACTTTGTGGAATCTTATATACATAATAGCAACCTCAGCCCCATATGTTATTTGGGGATCAGGCACAGCTTCCTAAGCATGCTGGGATATAGTGTGTGTGGACAGGCAGTAGCCCCACCCCAACCCTGTACCCTTTCCAAAGTGCACTAGCTTTGACCTGCTGTGATTTCCAGTGGCTAAAGTTAGTGTGCATCCTCAAAGTATTCAATAATTTGGGAAGCAAAGGTGCTGATGAAAGCTAGTGGCCTGTACCTCACTAATTCCTTGTTTGTTTGTTTTTAAATTTTATTTATAATTTTCAATATTATAACAAAACCGGTATTCAAAGTGATGAAAATCTTAAATACAGCATCATATTGAGATTTAAATAATAATCTGAACCATCATCACATACAACAAGGAAAAACACCTGGGTAAGTATACTGTTATAAGTACAGAGAAACATTTCACGACAACATATTGCGAAGATTAATATATCACTGAATCAAGTTTGAACAGAGACCATCTTTCCCCAATTATTTTTTCTGAATCCATTTTTTCAAGAAAAGAAAGCCATTTGTCTAATGGGTCTGATATAAAGTTCTCTAGAGATTTTTTACTATAAAATACTGTGAATTTTTCTAGCGTAAAATAGTCCCAGACTTTTTCATACCATTGAGATAACGAGGGTGGATGTTTATTTTTCCACTGCTGTGCTATGACTGCTTTGGCAGCCGTTAATAAAACTAGGACTAAATCCCTAAGTTTTTAAGGTACTTGTTACCTCACTAATTCCTTGTTAACCAAATTCACTAGTTCAAACAAAATCTGCAGTAAAGAAAACAAGACTTACTTGATCCCATTTACAAATATCCTATTTTAAGAGTTGAGATTTCAAATACAGAAAATATACATTTTGAGAGTTAAGAGATTTCAAATACAGAAAATATAGATTGCTGATTTTGTCTGCACTGGTAATATGGCTAGATTGGAATATTACGTAGGTTCCAAAATGTATGTAAAACACAACTTTGTCTTCTAGTCAATTAGAACCATGGTATCTTTCACATGTTCAGATAGTTATTGGTTGATCCTAAGTATACTTAGTTGGAAGTAAATCCCATTACATTAGTGGGGCTTTCTTTCATACAAACTCGGTGAGGATGAGCCTGCTTATTAATTGTACAGTGCTCTCTGACACACTCTTTGTTCACGTGGACCTTCCAATCTTGTTTGTTTAGAGGTGATTTACATTCTTCCCTCAGTCACAGACCCATTTTTACATATGGCTTTACAGTTGCAGAGGTAATATCACTCTATCATTACCTGAATATAATTAAATATAAGTATGTTCATATTTGTGTGTTCATCACATAAAGACAGCAAGAAGAAGAGTTGCCCAGACGTTCTGAGGCTATCACAGATTAAACAACAGATATAGAAAGTTCGTATCTCAGATAATCATTAAGTCAAAAATTTTCAAATGAGTTCAATGGTACAAGTTAGCACAGGTCTTTTCAGAAAATTAATCTAGAATTAATACTGAATGAATGCTGTGTGTGTGTGATCTCTTATTTTATCACTTAATTCAGAGCTTGACAAATCCCAGATACCATTTACTATATATTTATTTATTCAATTTGTACCCCACCGTCCCCGCAAGCTGGCTCAGGGCGGTTTACACGGTTGGTACAATACCAATAAAACCACATAAAATCATTTAAAACAATTTAAATACAAATAAAATCATAAAATCATAAGGTGCTAGTGATCGTTCAGTTACTTGTGATGTCATTCTAACATGTCTGTAGGCAGACAGTTTCCAGCTCAGTAATCTTCCGGGTCACTCAATGGTATATGCCAGATGTTAGGCTGAGGGCCAGGCTCATTGATGGTAGTAGTGAGGACGGCTCCCTAGTTGAAAGCCTGGTGGAAGAGCTCCATCTTGCAGGTCCTGCGGAACTGCAAAAGATCCTGCAGGGCACTGATCTCTTCCGGGAGCTCGTTCCACCAGTAAAGAGCCACCACTGAAAAGGCCCTAGCCCTGGTAGTAGCGACCCTGGCATCCTTGGGGCCCAGGAGGGTCAGTTGATTCTGCGACCCCGACTGCAGTGCTCTCTGGGGTATATGCGGGGAAAGGTGGTCCCTCAGGTATGTAGGTCCCTGGCCATAAAGGGCTTTAAAGGTAAGCACCAGCACCTTGAAGTGAATTCAGTATGCTATTGGCAGCCACTGCAATGTCCTCAGCACAGGCTGGATGTGCTCCCATCTGGGGAGGCCCATCAAAAGCCTGGCTGCAGCATTCTACACTACCTGCAGCTTCTAAATTTGCGACAAGGGCAGCCCCATGCAGAGAGCGTTACAGTAGTCTAGTCTCGAGGTGACCATCGCATGGATCACTGTGGCCAGGTCGTTGCGGTTGAGGAAGGGAACCAATCAGCCAAAGATAGTAAAAGGCTGACTTAGCAGTGGCTGCTACCTGGGCCTCCATTGTTAAGGAGGTATCCAGGGGCACTCCCAAACGCCTAACCTCCGGCGCTGGCACCCCCCACCGAAGATCGGGAGTGGGGTCCCCACCCCTGAACCGCCCCGACTCATGACAGAACCTCCGTCTTCGCTGGATTCAGCTTCAGACGGCTCAATCTAAGCCAACCAGCCACAGCCTGTAACGCCTGGTCCAGGTCTTCCGGTCTGGAGTCTGACCGGCCGCCCAGGATCAGATAGAGCTGGGTATCAGCGTACTGGTGACACCCCAGCCCATACCTCCAGGCTATCTGGGCAAGGGGACACATATAGATGTTAAATAGCATCAGGGAAAGCACTGCCCCCTGAGGCACACTGCACTCCAGCGGGTGCCTCCTGGACTGCTGTTCCCCTAGCACCACCCTTTGTCCCCGACCTTGGAGAAAGGAAGCAAGCCATTGTAAGGCAAGCCCCTGAATACCCATGTCGGCAAGGCAGTGGATCAGTAACTGTTAAACACAGCCGACAGGTCCAACAGCAACAGCACTGCTGAACTGCCCTGATCCAGATGCCTCCGGAGCTCGTCAGTCAGAGCAACCAATGCCGTCTTTGTCCCGTGTCCCGAGCAAAAGCCAGACTGGAAGAGATCTAACATGGAAGTGTCATCCATAAGGCCCTGTAACTGTATCGCCACCGCCCTCTCGATTAATTTGCCCAAATAGGGCAAATTGGAGACCAGCCAGTAATTAGCCAATTTGGCCGGGTCCAGAGATGGGTTTTTTAGGAGAGGACGGACCATCGCTTCCTTAAGTGCCCCCGGGGAACAGCCCTTCTGAGAGGGACTTGTTGACAATTTCCCTTAGGGCACCTCAGAACCCTTCCTGGCCAGGAAGGTCTGGTTGCCAGGTTGCCATGGCATCTAGGAATTTCACTGAGATGTCTAGTATTCTCAGCAATGATTTTATTGCAGTATCTCTTAGCAATTGTCAGTGGAAGTTGGAACAGTTGGAACCAAACAGTTTTTCCAGTGGTGAAAAGGGAAGGAAAGGGATTCCCTTTCTTTGCTCCTTTACAAGGCTATGTTTGGACTCATGGGGCCTAAATGGGCAAAAGCCATGTGGAACTGGAGCTGCAATAAAGAGGGTAACAAGGTGACTTGAGACTGAGCAAAAAACCTGGCTCAATCCAACCCAAAGTTTATTGTTTCACATCATAATGTTTTGCTGTATGACATAAAAATAAATGTGTTACTTGTTTATATGTAAACTTAAATGTCACCACTCAGTGGTGATAAACTCATATATTAAGTAGATGTTTTCTATGCTGGATCAAACATCCAATTAAATGGAGCTTTTCAAAGCAATCACGGAATTATAAGAAAGAGAAGAAAGATAAGAAATTAGGCTAAGGTTAAAGGTTAGCTTTTTGTTGTCATGATGACCGTTACCAGAAACCCTTGCACTACAACAATCAGAAAATGTGGCCATTAAATATGAAGTCCTGAAGGCTGAAAAATGAGTCTGGCTCCTACATTTTTGGGCTGTTTCATAAAACCAAACATAATTTGTCAAGGCCTGACTGGATCAGAATAGCAGACAGAGCCTACGTTGCCTCACATTTCCTACACTTCTCAGATTTTTTGTAGTTAATGTGTAGGCTACCTTGAATAGCAGAAGATATATTCTAAATACATTATTTTATGAAGAAGAGAAGAGATTGGATTTATACCCCACCCTTCACTACCCAAAGTTGTCTCAGAGCGGTTTACAAACTCCTTTCCCTTCCCCTCCACACAACAGACACCCTGTGAGGTAGGTGGGGCTGAGAGAGCTCTTGACAGAAATTGCTCTTTTTTCAAGAACAGCTGTTATTAGAACTATGGCTTGCCCAAGGTCATCCAACCAGGTGCAAGTGGAGGAGTGGGGAATCAAACCCAGTTCTCCCAGATTAGAGTCCACACACTTAACCACTACACCAAACTGGCTCTCTACTAATATAATGAAACCTTTTACACTACTTTCACAGCTCTGAACACAGGATTTTATATTAACTTGCTTCCAAACTCATGGTACAAGAAAAAAGGACATTTTTCAAAGTATGTTTAACTTCACTGAAAATCTGTTCCACTTGTAGCTGCCATTTCTGCTTAAATACCTCTTTCAATTTCAATTTGCTATAGCTATTTGCTACATTACTAACCACAATTCAAAAATATGTACGTTTGCAAATTTCTTGAAAAAAGGAAATAAAGTTGTTAATGTATCATTCAGTTTTGAAATGAGTTCAGTATAACATTCAATTCAATATGTTTTTTCCACTGCGAACTGGTGAAGCAGTTAGCTGAGTACTCTGTGTCACCAACATCCAAAGTCATCTGGTCTCACGATCAGTATTTTAAAGCATTTGTAAAAAGGTAAAGGTTCCTTTGCTCGAAAGCCAGTCGAATCCAACTCTAGGTTTCAAAGCCGAAGAGCCATCGCTGTCCAAAGAAATGTGGTCATGTGGCCGGCATGACTAAACACCAAGGAGCACCGGAACGCTGTTACCTTCCCACTGAAGTGGTACCTTTTTATCTACTTGCAATTTCTTGCTTTCGAACTGCTAGGTTGGCAGGAGCTGGAACTAGAGATGGGAGCTCACTCCGTCATGCGGCACACTCGGGTCTCGAACTGCTGAACTACCGATCTTCCACAGCCTGCAGTTCAGCGTCTTAACCACTTGAGCCACCCACCGCATTTGTAGTGGTTCACTAATAGGGCGTAATGACATGTCACATTATCCCTGGAGTCACCATGAGGTCTTTCAGTCAGAGATACCTTGTGAATTCCATGCTCAGAACTCAACTCCCAGGGGCACAAAGGCCCAATTCAGATTGGGACTCTGAAGAGAGCAGGCTTCGGCCTTTCTACTCTGTGCCATTTAATTCACTTGCAATAGCCCTGGGGAGCTGCTTACTTGCCCTCCTGGGAAAATCTACATATTTGCTATGTATCTGTCAATTTCCCCAACAGATCAAACAGTGGATTCCCAAGGCTGTTTCAAGTCAGAGAGAAGGCTGAAGCCTAGGTTGCCAAAAACCCCTGGGAAAATGTCCTGTTCCTTTAATAGAAGTTTAATGTGTGGAAAACAGTCCCTGGAAAAGACAATAATGCTAGGAGAAGTTGAAGGCAGCAGGAAAAGAGGAAGACCTGGCATGAGAAGGATTGACTCAGTTGAGGAATCCATGACCCTCAGATTGCAAGACCTGAGAATGACTGTTAACAGCAGGGCATTTTGGACAACATTAATTCATAGGGCCCCGTAAGTCAGAAGCAACTCGATGGCACTTAACACAGACAATGTGTGGAAATGGACCACTGACACTTTTCATGACATGATGGTAAATACCACCTGTTAAATAACAGACTAAGAAGCTTATATTAAAGCCACAAGACATGTTTTTCTCCAGTTGGCAACCCTACTGGAACCTCATCTCCTTGCATGCCATGGTCCTGGTCTGGATTAGGCCACCATATAGGGAACTGGAAATCAAGCATACAACTCACAAGGCATATATGATGAAAAGTGACTCTGGTGGACCTGGGGAGCACACAAGGACAATTTATCTGTAGTTAGACCCATAGCTGGGACATGGTCTGTCACCACATATAACTACCACTGAGGGAAAATATACCCACCCACCCCCGACAAGGGATCATGTAACAATACCTCTCTCAACACTTAAAATAAGTCACCAGTGCATGGTAGAACTAAGTGCAGAGATTCAGTTTCCAGGGGAGGAGACAGCAGTTCCTTAAACAATTCCCACATGGGAGACAGAACAAATGATAGCCCTGTAAACTGGTTTTACCCAGGGTATCTACCTAACCCTGCCCGAAAATTGGTTGTACCTCCTGTTCCCTATTCCAGCCTAAAAGTCTTGATGACTAAAGACTAGTTATAAAAACTCACACTTTTAGTCAAAGGAGTGCCTATTTTAGTCCCTTGTGTTATGTGGCTAGTCACATCATGTTGACACAAATTGAATAGCCTGATTTACTTCATGCACAGGAAAATAACCAGCTACCATTACATCTCAGTGATGGACCCAACATCTAGCCAGCATATGAAAAAGTGGAACCAATCCTTCTTTAACTTTCCAGGAAGCTCTCTCATCCCATGCTTAGCTTCTGAGATCCTTTAAAACTCCCCTGATTCAAAACTGCAAACTAACTGGTACCTCTTTTAGTTATTCTAATAGCATCTTGGTAATTCCAGCTGACACTGACAAATTGATATTGATCCAAAAAATAATTAAAATTAATTCCTTAGTATGGGAATAGTCTCTTTAATGTCAAAGAAAACAAACTAGGTACCCCCCCCCCCAATCTTTGCAAAAACACTTACAATGCTCATTACTATCAAACTTTTGTTGCCTTACACTGGAAGATAGGTATTATCTAAGTTGTACAGTGGAATTCAAAAGCTGATTTTGTCAAGATTGTACTAGAAGTAATTGGGAAGATATTTATGATCTCAGCCATGAAACTACTCACACAAATCCTTTCTTAGATAAAAGGAACCATCACACTTTTTAAAGTCAGTGACAAATGATGAACCAAAGAAGTAACGTACCTTTCACAGATGCCGAATATGTGGAAATTATGCATGGGAAAAGCACCGTAAGAAGAATCATGCCTTCTTCCTTTAAGCTGTTAACTATAATACTATGAAATACGGTACTGCTATTGAGAAGTGAACTGCTCAGACTGGAGTGAAACTTGCAAAGAGGGCTTCAGAATCTGTTACAATAAAGTTTATCTAGATGCAGTAAGGGTCAGATTCCAAACGCTGCACTTAGGTACAAAGTTCATTACAGATCTTTTCAGTTAATTATTAAGAACTGGGGTGATATAGGACATTTGACGATTTCATTGTTCTCCTTAGTTTTCACTAACAAGGACAAAAAATAAAGTTTGAGTCCAGGGGCACCTTTTGCATGCACACAAAAGCTTGTACCTTGAATAAAACTTTGCTGGTCTTAAAGGTGCCATTGGATTCAAACTCTGTTTTACTGCTTCAGACCAACATAGCTACTCACCAGAATCTACGGACAAAAAAATGTACATGCTGACCAGAGGCTCATATGCAACATAGTCCATCTAAATGAAATTTAGCATCAAAAAGTGGACAAATTACAAACTGCTCAGGCAAATTTCCCTAACAATATGCTACCTTCAGAACTTAGAATATATTACATTTTCTTTACTCTCCTCATTATTGTTTTTATAGTGTTGCTACTGGTAGAGCACATGTACACCTTTCCTGCTGGTGCTTTCATAAACTTACTGCAAACCGTGCAAACATTATAGAATCCAATATACTACATTAAAAATGTGATCAATCCATTGTTTTAATCTTTTTTTCTCAACAATAAAGACGTCATAAGTTGAAAAGTGAAGACGTCAATGAAGACAGATGAAGACAGGACGAACTTCCCCGGAGTTACCACTCGTTTCGATATTTCTTTTTCATACAAAAGATCTCCTACCAAGAAACATATTCATTACTTACAACAGGAAATCATCCCAGCCACAATAAATCATGCCAAAAAGTTTCCAAAGTGTACATACAGTTTTACATCTGCAAAATCACAAAGCTTCCAAATGGACTCTCTCTAGTTCTATAAATAAAAATGATAATATTGTATTCATTGCATTTTGTCATTATTCCATCTTAACATAACATGTAAGTAGAGTAAATATAAAATTATTAGGCTCTTACCCTAAGTACTTCAAAGTAGCTCACGCCAGGCTCTAAGCCATTATATTCAAACCGGGCTGATCAGCCTTAACCCTTACACTCATTTCTAAACCTTATATTGCTACTAAAGTGTCACATGCTTTTTACAACGATGTTGCCAACATACTTTACATTTCATTGTACCTATGTTTATTAAAAAACAATTAATATCTGATCAGTTATATACAAGAACCTACAAAAAGCTATACAAAAAACCAAGGAAACCTAACAATTCATATGTAACAGGAGCATCCTAATGTACCACCAGAAACCTACAGACTAAAGAATCCAACTCTAAGTTTTTAAAGGAAACATGCCAATTCAAGAGCTGCATTTAATCCAGCTGGTTGACATGTGTTTAATTTGAAACACCAGAACGCTTCTCTTTGGAGTAGTAATTTGCGTATGTCACAGGACTCGTATGGTTTTGGACGGACGACTTCCAAAGTGATGCATTTAAAGTCGTCGGGGCAATGACCCACTTCCGTATAGTGAGGCACCAAAGGGGCATCCTGACAAGCATGTCTCAACCTCGATTTGTGTTCAAGCACACGAGTTCTAAGTGCCCGTGAAGATTGGCCCACATATTTCAATCCACACCCACAGATTAGGAGATACACTACCTCCTTCGTGGGACAGGTCGAAAAATGAGTTATTTCCTTTCTGTAATTTAACTCCGGAAAATCCAACTCTTTCGTTTCCCACATCTGTGGGCATGCTGCGCATTTCTTACATTTGTAATGACCCCTAGGAAGGGTGTCATTTTGCCTGCCCTGAGGTAAATCTGCCTTAATGATCTTATCCCGTATGCTCAAAGTTTTCCTAAACCCTATGATGGGGGGGGTTTAAACATAACGGAACATTGTTCAAAATGTGCCAGTGCCTCAATATGATCTTCCTGATGTCATATGCTCTGTTATTGAATTCAAGAGCCCAATGTAATCTATTGTCCTCAGAACATTTAGATCTACCTTTCAATAGGTCTACCCCCGCTGGGTAACCCCTTTCTTTGAAAAGCAGACTGAGTCTATCTGATTCTTTTTCAAAGTCCTCATTAGTAGTAGAGGGGTTTTTTTTATCCTCAAAAATCGTCCGTATGGAATGTTTTCTTTAAGGTGTTGTACATGATGCGATTTAAAATGTAAATAGGAATTCCTATCAGTACTTTTGTTAAAGGGGTGAATCGCCAACTTATTAGCTCTAACATACACGTTGATGTCAAGAAAATTTAACTCTGTAGTGTTAACTTGATGTACAAACTTGATGGACTCATGGACCGTGTTGAGCCATTCTACAAACTGACCCACTACATTCACATTATCAATCAGCATAAATAAATCATCTATATAACGTTTGAAAAAAACTATATGTTCAAAGAAAGGATTTGTCCTATTATTCAAAATCCACTTCCCCTCAAAATCACCCATGAATAGCTTGGCCACGCTGGGTGCGAAGGCACTCCCCATGGCCACCCCTTTAATTTGAAAATTAAAATCACTGCCAAACCGAAAAAAACTCTTTTCAAAAATAATATCCACTAAATCAAGTAGAAAGTGAGTAGGGGGAAGACATGTCTCTCGTTGTTCTAAGGTCCTAAGTAAACACATGCGTGCCTCTTCATGAGGGATATTAGTATAAAGAGAGTTGACATCTAACGTCACCAGGGCCATGCCGTCAGGTGCTGGAAGTCCTTCAACTTGATTAATAAAATCACCCGTATCCTTAACATAAGTGGAAAGGGACCCTACAAACGGTTGCAGGAAGGAATCCGCGTATTTTGACAAAGGTTCCAAAACAGAATTTGTACCCGAGACTATAGGACGGCCAGGGGGCAGGAAGCCCTGTTTGTGTAACTTCGGTAGCGTGTAAAAGATGGGGACCCTATGATGTTTCTTCTGTAAATATTCTGCCTTGTGGATGGATATGTAGTCAAAGAGTAGCCCTTCACTCACCACAATACGTATTAATCTACAGACCTCCTCTGTCGGATCATAGTCTACTCTGGTGTAAAATTCTATGTTGTCCAATTGTCTCCTTACTTCTGGCACGTAATCACCCCATTCCTGTATCACTAAGGCTCCTCCTTTATCTGCAGTCTTAATGACAATATCCTTCATTTCAGATATGTCATTTAGACTCTCCCATTGTGTCCTTGTAGTATTATACCTAACAGGAGAGTTCCGTGATTCTAGTGTTTTGATATCTTCCAATACTCTCTGTTCAAACACAATAATGGAAGGATGGTAAATCTGAGGAACAAATTGAGATTTCACTCTAAAGGGGTTTATGTCAACAAAGTTAGATCCTTCGAAGAAACACTTTAATTTAAGAGTTCTTATCAATTTAAATACATCCACCCGCACTTGGAAAGCATTGTATCTCGGGGTGCATACAAAACCAGGTCCTAAGTTCAGAATATCCATGATGTCTTTAAGGTGTTGTACATGATGCGATTTAAAATGTAAATAGGAATTCCTATCAGTACTTTTGTTAAAGGGGCGAATCGCCAACTTATTAGCTCTAACATACACGGTGATGTCAAGAAAATTCAACTCTGTAGTGTTAACTTGATGTACAAACTTGATGGACTCATGGACCGTATTGAGCCATTCTACAAACTGACCCACTACATTCACATTATCAATCAGCATAAATAAATCATCTATATAACGTTTGAAAAAAACTATATGTTCAAAGAAAGGGTTTGTCCTATTATTCAAAATCCACAGGAGAGTCAAAAACAGGGCAGGAGAGCAAGCCCCTTACAATCAGTACAAACGGGGGAGGAAAAGGAATTAGTGGTAAACTTGACGACTAGAACATTTTCTAAAGACATGTCTTGTGGCTTTAATATAAGCTTCTTAGTCTGTTATTTAACAGGTGATATTTACCATCATGTCATGAAAAGTGTCAGTGGTCCATTTCCACACATTGTCTGTGTTAAGTGCCATCGAGTTGCTTCTGACTTACGGGGCCCTATGAATTAATGTTGTCCAAAATGCCCTGCTGTTAACAGTCATTCTCAGGTCTTGCAATCTGAGGGTTATGGCTTCCTCAACTGAGTCAATCCTTCTCATGCCAGGTCTTCCTCTTTTCCTGCTGCCTTCAACTTCTCCTAGCATTATTGTCTTTTCCAGGGACTGTTTTCCACACATTAAACACTCTTCCAGGGACTGTTTTCCATACATTCCACACTCTTAATCTAGGCTTGATGGGCTATTCTTTACCAAGTGGCATTATTTGCCTCCATGCCATGAAGAGCTTTCACTGCCCATTTCCACACATTAAACCTTCATTAATAGAACAGGACAGTTTTCTCCAAGGCTGCTGGCAATCCCAAATGAGGACCTAAATCTCATCCCTGACAACTTTAATTAAAAGATTTAAGGTAGTAAACCTGGTAAAGATTTCTGGAAATGCCAGCAGATGAGGTGCTGAAGACCCCATTTTTTCAAAAAGTCAAAACCATTTTCAGGGCAAGAGGAGGAGATAGAATCAGACCAGGAGAACTACCGTGCTGGAAGTTGGGAGGTTAATCCTCATATCTGTACGTTCCTCCCAGTGATTTAAGGAGGAAAAGCAGGGGCAAAGATTTAAGTAGGAATAATAGAACAGAGGAAAGAGATAATCTCCTTTTCCACCAGCACTGTGGTCTAGGGTTGCCAACTGCCTGGAGAAAAAATGTTCTCTCTCTCTCTAATACAAGCTTAATAAACTATAATTTACCAGGTGATGTTAATTACACATTACTGCATACCAGAGAACAACTAGGTCAATATTTTGGAATGAACTTGCTATCCAACAAAATAATGACAAGCATTACCTTTCATTTGAACAGGGCAGCTAAATATGCCCTTCCTGTACACCTCAGTTAAGCCTTGCTGGCCAGTGTTC